GATACTACTCCTGACTTTATTTTGTATTTCTTTAGCTTTGTTTTACTTGTTCATAAGTTGATTTGAGCTTTTTTTTTTTTTTTTAAGATTTACTTATTTATTTGAGGGGCAGAGTTACAGAGAAGGGGAGAGACAGAAAGAGAGGTCTTCATCTGCCAGTTCACTCCCCAGATGCTCTAAGCAGGGTCAAAGCTGAGCTGCTCTGAAGCCTGGAGCCAAGAGCTTCTTCCAGGTCTCCCACGTGGGAACAGGGGCCCAAAGACTTGAGCCATCTTCCACTGCTTTCCCAGGCCATTAGCAGGAACCTGGATGGGAAATGAAGCAGCCGGGATATGAACTGGTGTCCACAGGGGTTGCCAGCGCTGCAGGCAGGCGCTTAACCTATGCCACAGTGCCAGCTCCCAGTTTGAACATTCTTAATATTTTTAAAATTGTGATTGCTTCACTGAACCTTTTGTAAGGTACTTTGATTTATTTCTTTTGCCGCATACTTAATAACTGTCAGTTGCTGACGGACTGGATGTTAGCAAAATATTTTAAACTATAAATAGTAATGAGCAGAGGATGAGTCTGTGGTAGGGTAGGTGTGTGATGGTTCACTTCCTCTTTATTTGCTCTTTTTCCTTGTCATATTTGCTGCCGTTTATATATATGTGTGCTCTTGTCCATCTTACCTGTTCTTGGCATCCAGCTATGTTTAAACCAAGGAGAAATCTCCCCTCCCCCCGACTTGTCCCTGTGAGCACACAGCAGGTTGCCCTGAAGAGCCGTTAGTTCCACTTCTGGTTTTGTCCTTTACCCTGATGGCAAAAATAAGTTTACAAAGGAAGGTTGACTGAAGATTTTGATAGGGATTGTGTTCGTGAGTGGATTTAAAGTTACCTAACCAACATGGAGTTTGATACTTTGATTTTTGGAAGACAAATAGGGCAACAAAATTCCTGACCTTCCAGAGGAAGCCATGTGGTTGTGAACCTCCATTTGATAATGTCACTAACTTCTGAACTATTTTTAGGACAAGTTAGTAAGCTGACTACATGTGAATCCAGATACAGAGTGGACAGATATTCCTGTTACTTGCTCTGGCTGCAGACAGGTTTCCTAACCACTCCAAGCTTAATCATCATCTGCATTCAGAGGGATGAAAGCTTAATTTGTGATAGTAGGATAGTAGGTTTAAAAACACATCAAGATGTTCATGTGCTACCTAGCACAAAACAAATATTTGCTTTAAAAGTATAGATTGGTAGTAGTTATAAGAATTGCAGGTTGTTAAATTTGTTTATCCTAATACTAAATGTAGGAATTCTGTGTTTTTCGTGTAACCTCCCTGCTGCTTACTTGCTTGTTACCCTCCCATAAAAAACCAACAACGGACAACAGAGAGACATTGAATTTCAAAGGAGACAGTCCAGTTTATATATCCTTTATCTGAAATTCTTGGCCCCAGAAGTGTTTATGTTTCTTTCTGTTTTGGGATATTGGCGTATGCATAATGAGATTATCACCAAGTAGGACGCAAGTTTAAATATAAAATCAGTGTTTCATATATATACCTTATATACATAGCCTTGTGGGTAATTTTGTATATTAGTGTGCCTGTTTTGACCATGACCTGTCATATCAAATCAGGTTTGGAATTTTGCCCTTGTGGTAACATACCAACACCACAGAATTTTGGATTTTAGGATTAGAGATGCTCAAGGTGTATTGCCATTTCTTCATGATTTGTAGTTATATTGACTGAGTTAGAACATGTCGTCTTATGTGTTTAGAAGACATTTAAGGCCACTGTTTTCTAAATTTCAAATTTGACATGAAAAGACATGTTTTAAGAAAAACGATTAAATAATTTTCATACTTAAAGTACGTTCTGTCCTCGGTTAAAAAAATGATTTACAGCTAATGTTTTAGTAGTTATACTACCTCAAACTCAATTCTGTTTATATAAAAAATGATTTTGATTTTGTTTGACTCTTATGTTAATGCACTGTTAAAGAAAGTATTTATTGTTTTAGTAAGAAATTCTGTGAATAATTATTTCTTCCACAAGAGGGCCTTCTTAGAAAAGCTTTTCCTGTTTGCTGTCAAAGTATTTCTGTGCAGTTTCTGTGACAACTGAAATTCCTCAAAAAACATTTCAGGGAAGAGATACTACTTCTAGTTTCTTCCATGATGAATGCCTACAAAGCAGTCTTTTCTGAGATGTTAATGGAGAAGGAAGGCTGTAAATTTTGTTCAGTTCTTCTTTAATGTCTTCAGCAGATGGACCATTTTACAGTAGTCCATTTACTATTTTACAATAGATGCTCTATTAACTGCAAAAGGCAGAAATCTAAATAACACCTCTTCACCAGCTTGGCTTTGTGATACTACCTTGTATAGTTGTGTTTTCCTTTATTCTTAGGCCTATTCTACCAAAACAAAAGTTCAGCAAGAATTGTGGTTTAAAAAACACAAACAGGCTGGCTCTGTGACATAGCTGAACCTCCACCGGCAGCACCGGCATCACATTTGAGTGCTGGTTCGTGTCCCAGCTGCTCCAATTCAAATCCAGCTCTCTGCAATGGCCTGGGAAAGCAGTAAAAGCTGGCCCAAGTGCCAGGGCCCCTGCACCCATGTGGGAAAACTGGAAGTAGCTTCCGGCTCCTGGCTTTAAATTGGCCCAGTTCTAGCTGTTGAGGCCATTTAGGGAGTGAACCAGCAGATGGAAGACCTGTCTGTCTGTCTCTCCCTCTCTCAGTCTATAAGTCCATCTCTCAAATAAATAAATAAAATCTTAAAAAACACTAACAAGTGCTATGTGAGGAGATAATTCAAGAAACATGTATGTAAAGAACATTTTCTCAGATCTTTTATCATACTACCAAGCAGAAACTGTTGAGTGAGGTTTTGTCTTAAGTCCAGAGCTTCAAATAATAAACTCAGTGATAATTTGTTTCCCCTAATGTCCCAGTACTTCATTTTAGCAGAGTGCAAGAGGAACAGGAAGCAGAATTGAACAGGATTTAGTTGCTGTACAAGTGTCTTTTGTTTTACATTTGCGTGAGTCTGATGGCCTTGGAGAGCATCAGAGCATGGTGACTGGGAGCCTATACCATTTCATTTGCTTTCAGGCTGTGGGGACTGAGGAATTCATGCAAGAAAATTATAGCAGCTTGTAGGATGAAGGCTTGCCTGTACTTTCAGTTCATTCCGATATATGTCCTTATACTTTTTATAAGTTGTCTTGGTTTAATTTATTTGCTGTCAGGCCGTCACTGCGGCTCAATAGGCTAATCCTCCGCCTTGCGGCGCCGGCACACCGGGTTCTAGTCCCGGTCGGGGTGCCGGATTCTGTCCCGGTTGCCCCTCTTCCAGGCCAGCTCTCTGCTGTGGCCTGGGAAGGCAGTGGAGGATGGCCCAAGTACTTGGGCCCTGCACCCCATGGGAGACCAGGAGAAGCACCTGGCTCCTGGCTTCGGATCAGCGCGGTGCGCCGGCCATTGGAGGGTGAACCAATGGCAAAGGAAGACCTTTCTCTCTCTCTCTCTCTCTCTCTCTCTCACTGTCCACTCTGCCTGTCAAATAAATAAATAAAAAAATTATTTGCTGTCAGATTTAATGTGTACTAAGATCTCCTGCTGATCCCATTAACAGTACAGAGATCCAAACCTCATCCCAAAAGATACTAATCAAATAGATGTAGGGTGTATTTAGGGCATCAACCCACTGAATTTTACTGGAAAGAGTAGTATAAATCTATTTCTTTCCTGAGAAACCTGCTCACTGCTAGTTCTGTAATTTTGGAAAAGTTTCTTAATATCTAAACTACCACACCTAAGAGAAAACACGTTTCTTTAAAATTATAACAGGACTTAGATTAATTAACATAAAGGATAATGATGATAACTATGCTTGGCCTACTGAAGGCATTCAGTGGATAAGATGCCCTCCTCATTATACATGAAACTTTTGCATTCCTACCCTTGCAAATTCCTCTTCCCCAACCATCTTGAATTATTTGTTGTCTACGTAAGCAGGTCTTGGAGGCTTCTGTGCCTTTACATTGCTAATTACTTGTCCTTGTAATGCATTCTGCTTCTGCTGCTTTAGTATTTTCTCGCTTATCCTTTAAGGCTGTACAGTTCTCATAGCTCTTGCGACTATCCTGACCTTCCTGCATCGCATTCCCCTGTGCATGTACTCTGTCCAGACTTTCTCCACTGAGAGGCGTCATGCTGTAATGAAAATGGAACGTGACCTATATGCACACATGGGTGTGAATTGTGACAGCCTCTAAATACACATGCATTTATAACTCATGCTTAGATGAGTTGCTTTATTTTTTAAGTCTTTTTCTAAATATGCAAAATGGAGATGTTATATGGTACAGTGTTGTGAGAAATAGAAGGAGTAGTGTGTGTGAAGTTTTTTGCCAAGGGCCTAGTGTGTAAGCATTCAGTACATAGTACCTGTTTCTATCCTGTTAATGGTCCTATGTATTTTTTCCTTATTCACTAGTTCTCAATCCAAAATGCAGTGCTGGCATTTAGTAGATTCTCAGTAATTAATGGTGAAGAAATGAATAGGTCTGTGGATATATAAATACATGACAGGCACTTGGAAAACTATCAGATACCGTTTAAAGGTTCTGTCTGTGTTTTGAATACTGAGTTTTCTGGTGGAAGCTTTTATACTGTTTAGTTCCAGTTTTGTTAAAGTGTAACATAGCTAAGGTGTAACCTTTCAGAAAAAGGCAGTTAGATTTCAATTTCAGAAGTCTTAAGGATTACAGAATTGTTGGGTTATTTATATGCTAATACATTTCAAAGTTTAAGTAAATAAGCCTTTACAGTAGCATTCATAGTCTTGAGATTTGGTTTTAGATGAGCATCATTTTTATTATCATCATAACCAAAATTCAGTAATTTATTTGATGTGATGTGGTTTTTAATAAAATAGCCTTATGATTTAACAGTAAAATTCAACTTTTCCAAATATTCCTTTTTCCGTAACAGCAACATTTCGTTGAGTTGGATGAAAATAGACAGAGATTATTGCAGAAATGCAAGGAACTTATGAAGAGAGCTAGGCAAGTATGTAACCTGGGTGCAGAGCAGACTGTTCCTCAAGAATATCAGACAGTAAGTATAAAAAATAGGTAATGCTACAGTTGTTGTATTTAACACATTGCTTTCAAGCTTAAAATGTGTTTGGCCTTATCACAGGCCATGAAAAACATGGTGTATATTAAAAATGTGAGCTTTCCTGATTTTTTAAACTGAATATGTATTTTAAGCAATTTTGCTTAACAAATTTTACCTATTACATTCAGATTTGACCACTATTCTTATTGCTTAGTATTAAGAGTCTTAAAACATGGGAATCACCTTACAAAACCATTAGTACCATAACATTGATTCTTTTAATAAAACTGAGTTTTTTGCCCCAAAACTACAAATTACTGGGTACAGAAGAGTGATATTAAAGGGGGAAAGGCAAAATGAAAATGTTTTCCTAAAAATTGGGGTGTTTGTAAATAGAGTTCAGTGGATCTGAATTTTTAGAGCTCACACCTATCTGTAAAGAAAGGAAGAAAGAACTCTTATTTCCATTATATTTTATATACTGATGTACCACTCAGTAAAATTAGGAGTTGAAGCTCTTTAATTAGCATTCCACCTTAAATGTCTGCCCCTGTGACTTTTAGGCTTTATCTGACAGTTGAGGATGATATCTTGCCTACATACCTATTCACAAGAAGGTCAATATAAAATTAGAAACGAATTTTTAAACTATTTGATACTCTTTTTTTATTCTTAATTTTTTTAAAGATTTATTTATTTACTAGAGAGGTAGAATTATAGACAGAGCACTGGGGCCATCCTGTGCTGCTTTCCCAGGCCATTAGCAGGGAGCTGGGTTGGAAGTGGAGCAGCCCAGACTTGAACTGGTGCCCGTATGGGATGACAGCACTGCAGGCCAAGGCTTGGCTTACTGTTCCACAGTGCTGGCCCTGTATTCTTAATTTCAAATGACTATCAGTAGATAATAAAGTCTGTACTAAAGATAAAAACAGAACTGGATAAAAGACTAAAATGGATCATAATCCTCAAAATGAAGAAAAAAAGATTGGAGTATTTGGGTACATAGTAGAAATCCAGTAGATACCTGTAGAACTAATTGAGGAATTTATTTCTAATGATAATGCTAGAGCTTATACAAAATATATTCTGTTCATCATAAAATAAATATTAGAATAATATCTGTACTAATTTTTTCTTTCAGAATGTAGCATGACTATCTTTGATAAGTTCTACTAGTTTTGAAAGAAACAAAATCAGAAAATGCATTCATAAAAATGTATTCACTACTGTTTTATATCAGTCAGTGAATGAGACAGATATACTTTCTCCTTCACTGAAATTTATATTCTACTTAGGAAGATGGGATACATCAAAACACAGAAGTCAAATACATTATGTTAGATAGTGAGAGATGGTAAGAGGAAAAAAGAAACAAGATAAAGGGATGGAGTGAAGAGGACAAGAAGTTGGTCAGGGAAGTCTCTTTTGAGAAAACATATTTTAGAGAAGTCTTGAGTGAAGAGAAGTCAAGTCAACTGAAGATCTGAAAGAAAAGTATTCAGTGTTTTTTTTTTTTTTTTTTATATATTTCAGAATAGAGGGAATCTCGATGAGGTTAAAAACTATAATCCACGCAGAGAGTTTTACCTCTTAGAGACCAGATTATGCAGGACCTTATAGAAGATGCAACAAGTTGGGTTGTATTCTGTTTGAGATAGAATCCACTGGAGGATTTTGAGCAGAGGAGTCTTGTTACTAACAATTCAGTTTATAGAAATGTACTCTTAACGAGAACAGAGTAGAGTTAGAAGAAAGGGAACCATTTAGAAGGTTAGAAGGTTATCGCTCATGACCATAAGAGATTACAGTGGCATAGACTGAGCTGGTAGCATGGAAGAGATGGAGAGAAGTTGACAGATTTGAGGTTTCTTTTAATGGTAGAGCCAGCAGGACTTGTTGATGTATTAGAGATGAGAAGAGTAGGAGAGAATATCCCCAAATTTTTCACCGGAACAAATAGTGAGATGGAGTAAACTGAAGGAGAAACAGGTTTGCTTAAAGTGGTGAGGAGGGTAGGTGAAATGAAGATGCTGTCACACCATCTGAAATTTAACCTACCTCTTAAGAGTCAAGTGAAGGTACCAAGTGCATGTTGAGCATTTGAGCGCCTCTGTAAATCAAGAATTGGAGCAAATATGCATACCAAGTGTCTGAAACTCTGTTAAAGCCAAACTGCTTTTATTAAAGGTTGAAAGAAAGAGAAAAACACGGAGATGATTGTGTAGGAATGTTTTTCAGGGAACTTGTTGGGTCCTGTGGTATTATGTGGACTTTGCCGCCTGCGCTAGGCAAAACAATGGACTGCTTCCCTTCCCTCGTAGGACAGTGTCTATTCTGATTTGTCTCTGAAGATAGTACTGTGATGGAATTCTACAGTCAGATAATTGGATTCTTAGGATGCTTTTGCACTTCTTCATAAGTACAGTATAAAGTTCTAACTTCTTGCTCTCTTTCAATGCCCCACATATTCTGGACCCATTCTACCAATTCAGCAAGTACCTACCATTCCAAATGGACACAACTCCTCACCCCCCATGGTATGCCGTGCTCATTCTTTTTTCCAAGTTCCTCTCTCCCCTCCACCTTGCTTTTCTGTAGCCATTTTCTTTAAGGCCCAGGGATTCTCTTAACTCTCCTGTAGCATGAACTGATTTTTACTTTCTCTAGAATCCATAGTGTATGTGATATATACTGCTTAGTTTAATACTCACCATCAATACATCGCCTTAAGGTGTTGTGTAGAGTATCTATTGTGTCCTCTTTTTGAGTAAAGTGTTAAGCATTTTGGAGGCAGCAGGCCCTGTTTATAATTGCTTTGTCTCCTTGAGTGCTAGCATGCAGTTGAGCAGGTAGTAGATACTTATTCAGCCTGTTATTTTTCTTTTAACTATTTGAATGGAACTGTTTTTCACTATAGTGTGTGTAATAATGAACAATTTTTTTTTCTGTAGGCTTTCCAAGATCTTCCAAACACATTGGATGAAATTGATGCATTATTAACTGAAGAAAGATCAAGAGCTTCCTGCTTCACAGGACTGAATCCTACAGTATGCCTCTTTATCTGTTCGCATTTTGCAGCTGACATCACTGTCACACTCCACACACACACACACACACATACACACACAGTTCCCTCCAGTGCTTGCCTCCCACTCTGTACTAGAGCTCTTGGTAATAATAAGCTAGACAGCAGGAACAATGTGCTTTAAATGCCAGATTCTGAATCTATTAGAATTTTAAATAGATTCTTCCTAAGGAACACAGTGTTCCATGCTTTTTCTTTATAAAAAGAATAGTTAGGCTAACCTGAAATACTGCAATGTCTGTTTTTTTAAGGATTAAAAAAATTGTATTTTCTATATGTAATAAGAACATGAATTAATTGGATACATATAGTGCAACACAATTGACATCTTCAGTTAATGTTTTAATTTATGTAAGATTTTACATAATTTTATCCTTTGGTAGATTTATCTTAAAGGAAGTATTTCTTTTTTCCCTACCAGGTGGTTGAAGAATACACAAAAAGAGAAGAAGAAATAGAGCAGTTAACTAAGGAACTAAAGGGAAAGAGAATTGAACTAGATAAATATAGGGAAAACATTTCACAGGTACTGATATTTTTAATTTTGTCTTTTATTTGTGTCATATTTGTCATTAATAATAAGAGAATATAGAAAAATGTAAAATGAAATGATATACTCCTAACAAAAAAAGGTATGTTTTCATGATCAGAGTAACTGACACAAAATTCATTTTGTGTGAAGTTTTTTAACAGACTATACTATGATGCTTCTTTTAAATTATGTTTTATATTGCCTTTATTTGTAGGTAAAAGAAAGGTGGCTTAATCCTTTAAAAGAACTAGTAGAAAAAATTAATGAAAAATTCAGTAATTTTTTTAGTTCCATGCAATGTGCTGGTGAAGTGGATCTCCATACAGAAAATGAGGTAAAATTGCACTTGAATTACATTATTGGCAAGTAATTTTAATTATCTACTAAAAGTACATGTGAATTTTTTAGTTACCTTACATTTATATCTCAAAATTTTGTTTACTAGATAATGCTGAAAAGAAAAAAAAACCTATGGGATTTTCTCTGTGTCACTTTTTTTTTAATGCTTCAGATCAGTGACTAATACCTTATAAATAACTCTTTTTATATCTACTCTGAGTAATGGTTATTCATCTATGTTGAATAAAGGCATTGCTTTGTAAATCTATCACTACTCAAGTTAAAAAGTTGTAAGTTAGCAAACATAACTGAAATATACTTATGAAACCAGTGGCTTTTTTAAATCAAGAATTTAAAGCAAGAGTTTATAAAAATGACAGTATTGAAAAATGTGCTACTGATTTCTTGAGCTTATAAATTGATGCATTACACTTTTGATAAATTAAGTTTTTTCATTAGGAAGCATACAAGATAACTGGAATTTGGGTGAGGTTATTGTAGAACATGATTGATTATGTATTGATCATAACTTAGGGTAGGTGATAGTTCATTATAGTGTTCTCTTTCATTTTGTGCATGTTGAAAATTTTCCATGATAAATTTTTTAACTTTTATTTAATAAATATAAATTTCCAAAGTACAGCTTATGGATTACAGTGGCTTTTTCCCCCCCATAACTTCCCTCCCACCTGCAACCCTCCCATCTCCTGCTCCCTCTCCCATTGCATTCACATCAAGATTCATTTTCAATTATCTTTATATACAGAAGATCAATTTAGTATATATTAAATAAAGATTTCAAGAGTTTGTACCCACACAGAAACACAAAGTGTAAAGTACTTTTTGAGTACTGGTTATAGCACTAATTCACATTGTACAACACATTAAGGACAAAGATCCTACATGAGGAGTAAGTGCACAGTGACTCCTGTTGTTGACTTAACAAAATGACACTCTTGTTTATGGCGTCAGTAATCACCCTAGGCTCTTGTCATGAGTTGCCAAGGCTATGGAAGCCTTCCTTTATTTATTCCATCCAGTTGAAAGGCAGAACAACAGAGAGGAGAGAGAGAGATATTTTTCTCCCAAAAATGCCCCCAATAGCCAAGAGCTGAACCAAGCCAAAGCCAGGAAGGAGCCAAGAACTCCATCTAGGGGCAGGGGTCCAAAGACTTGCACCATAATCTGGTGCCTTCCCAGGATGTATTAGCAGGAAGCAGGGTTAGAAGTGGAGTAACCAAGACTTAACACCAGCACTCCAATACAGGGATGCAGATGTTCTGAGCAGCAGCTTAACTTGTTATGCCACGTGTTGCCCTTGCAATGAAATTTTTTAATAAGAAAGAAATAAAGAGAATAAAATCCTTTTTTCTTGTAGCTTTTTAATTGTGTGTTTTGGTGTGTATGCAGTTTTGCATTGTGTTACGTACATGAATATAAGGCAAGATAGCACTGCTTTCTCCCCTTAGTTTTGCCCATGGTTCCTTCATTTGCTCAGTATGAAACATAAGTGAAAAGTATGTTTCTTTTGTGCCAGGCACTTTTAAACTTACCTTCTTTAATCCTCAAACTATCCTCTGAAGCAGGTGCTTTTATCAACCCTATTTTACAAATAAATAAGCTGAAACTTAAGATAAATTTACTACAGGTCACTAAGTGGCAGACTCATCTCCAGATCTGATCCCAAATAAGTTTGATTACTAGGAGCTTCATCCTAGTCAAAGTAGCTTTAGTACCTTTATCAGACAACTTGACCAGATAAGGCATAAGGATAATCAAAAGTAAGCACAGGAAGGAAACCTGTAGAACTGATGACCTGTCATAGAAATCCTATTCTTGGGACTGGTGCTGTGGGGCAGCAGTGTTGAGCCTCATCCTGTGTTGCTGGCATCCTGTTTGGGCACTGGTTCTAGTCCCGGCTGCTCCTCTTCTGATCCAGCTCTCTGCTGTGGCCTGGGAAAGCAGCAGAAGGTGGCCCAAGTCCTTGAGCCCGTGCACCCATGCAGGAGACTTGGAAGAAGCTCCTGGCTCCTGGCTTCTGACCTGCCCAGCTCCAGCCATTGTGGCCATCTGGAGTGCACCACCGGAAGGAAGATTTTCTCTCTGTCTCTCCCTCTCACTGTCTGTAACTCTACTTCTAAAATAGATAAATAAATAAAAATCCCATTCTTTAATCTAGGTCCCATTTCTTGCATGATACGATATACGATAGCTTTATCATGTGTTGTTTCTTCCAGATAGCTTTTAGTGTTCTCAGTGATAGCTGCCCCATCGCAGAGATGACTCAATATTTTCAGTGAAATTTTCTTGCCCAGCCTAGGGTCCCTGGGTGATGAACATTCTTGGCTCTTCTCAGCCTTCCCGTTGGAATGCTTTTATTTATTTTATTTCTAGAACCACTTTCTTTTTCCAGAACCTTCAGAGAAATGGGAGACACTAGAATGGGGGCAGAAACGGCAGAGAATAGTTGGCAGAGCCAGAAATAAAACTCTAGTAATCAAAGCTGGTATGGTTAAGAAATGAAATAGTAAATAAAATTATTGTGGAAGAAAAGTGGAATGTAAGTTAAAAGGTAAACCTTGGGAGTCAAAACTGACAAATTCATTATGTTATTTCTTTGTTTTGGCTCAGTCTTAGGAAAGTAAACGGAATAAAGTGGTATTTCTAAGATTTGACAGCCTACCAGAATCCTTACATTTATTGTTAACATGCTTGACATGCTTATAACACTGTTAATCTTAGACCAGTTGCAAAGTATACATGTCTTGAAACAGGTAAAAGATATGTTCACTGTATAATACATACCAGATTTCACAGACTTAGTATGAAAAAAATCAAATTATCTCATTAATAACATTATGGTTACATGTTGAAATGATATTTTAGATATGTTAGGTTAAATAAAATGTACATTAAAATTAGTTCACCAATTTATATTTTTTATGTAAATTTTAAATATCCTATATGGCTTGCGTTGTTAGCACTTAAAGCTCTGTATATTAAATAGTTAGCTTTTAATTGTGATTTATGTGATTTTTAAGGTAAATATGTAACTAATTAACCTGGATATGACATTGTAATAGATACAGTGTTTTTCAAAATATGTATATAATTCTTATCCACTTTTCTTTTTAACCAGCCAAAGAGGTGTGAGGAAGACTTGGCGATTATTTTTACCTCTGTAAAAAGCAATCATTTTAATCTGAATATATTTTCTTTTCTTTTTTTATTTATTTATTTGAAAGTCAGAGTTACACAGAGAGAGAAGGAGAGGCAGAGAGAGAGAGAAAGAGATCTTCTATCTGCTGGTTTATTCCCTAATTGGCCGCAACGGCCGAAACTGACCCAATCCAAAGCCAGGAGCTTCTTCCAGTTCTCCCACACGGGTCCAGGGGTCCAGGCACTTGGGCCATCTTCCACTGCTTTCCCAGGCTACAGCAGAGAGCTGGATTGGAAGTGGAGCAGCTGAGACTCGAACCGGTGTCCATATGGGATGCCGACACTGCAGGCAGCGGCTTTACATGCTACACCACACACAGCGCCAGCCCTGCTTCTTAATATATTTTCCATGTCTAAATAGATCTTTGGAGATATTAAAGCTTCTAAATAGTAGCTACTTGGTTAATGTTGTATTGCTTTAAACTTGATGGTATCACTAAATTTTAAATTCTTTTTTATTTATTTATTTTATTTATTTGAAAAGTACAGTTACAGAGGGAGAGAGAATAAGAGAGAGAACTTCCATCCGCTGGTTCACTCCCCAAATAACTGCAATGGCCAGGGTTTGGCCAGGCTGAAGCCAGGAGCCCGGTGCTCTGTCAGGGTCTCTTACCTGGTTGGCAGGGTCCCAAGCACTTGGGTCATCTGCTGCCTACCCGCGTTCTTCAGCAGAGAGCAGATTGGAAGTGAAGCAGCTGGGACTTGTCACAAGAAGCCCAACCTGCTGCATTTACTCATACAATTGATTTATTCAGTCTTTTTTCGATTGGAATGAAAGTAGCAGAGAAAGCTGTCATGTTTCATCAACTTTTTAAATGTTTTATAGGAAGACTATGATAAATACGGAATTCGAATTAGAGTGAAATTTCGCAGCAGTACTCAACTGCATGAATTAACTCCTCATCATCAAAGTGGAGGTGAACGAAGTGTTTCTACTATGTTATACTTGATGGCACTTCAGGAGCTGAACAGATGTCCATTCAGAGTAGTCGATGAAATCAACCAGGTCTGGTGATTATTCTTTTTACACTTAAATCCTACTGTATCCTGTAGTAAATTTACATGGGCATTCGTTATTGTTGTCATTGTCCAGGGAATGGACCCCATCAATGAACGGAGAGTGTTTGAAATGGTTGTAAATACTGCCTGTAAAGAAAATACATCTCAATACTTCTTTATTACACCAAAGGTAGGTAATAAGTAACCTGAAAGTGTTCACATACTCAGAACCCCCCAGGGCTTCATCATGTAACAGAATTTGGCTCAATGATTGTAAATATGAATATAACCACTTCCAGAAAAAACACTCAAAAGATTGCAGTAATATTTATGTTGACAGAAGGGATGGGTTCCTGTGACAATCAGAAATTTTGTTCTCAGAGAAAGGTAGTGTAGGAACCATGACATTATATTTTAAGGGAAGTAGGGTCCCAGTTGTCCTATTAAAAAAGGGGAGTGGTCCCAGCATGTCAGTTTACTACATAGGCTAGACTTAGATATGTTAATTCAGGGAATGATCACAGTCTGATATTGGAGTGTTTGAGGGCTTCAGAAGAGTTTTATTAGTGTAATAAATAAAATATTTGGCTTTACAAAAGTTGGAAAACTTGCTTCACAGTGAAGAGCGATAAGTGACATTTTGTCTGTTTTAATACAGCTCCTGCAAAATCTTCCTTATTCTGAAAAGATGACTGTGTTGTTTGTCTATAATGGGCCACATATGCTGGAACCAAACAGATGGAATTTAAAGGCTTTCCAAAGGCGGCGGCGCCGGATTACATTCACTCAGCCTGCTCAATAAGAAGTGAAGGGAGGGAACTTTGGAGTGTTTCTGTTAAGTTCTATTTGTAACGATGGCTCAACTGAATAAAAGTGAGGCGATTTGATAAAAGTGAAAGATCGGTTATTTTTGGAAACCTGCTTTTAAGTACAAATAGATTGATGAAATGGAGACCATGACTTCTTTCTCTGGAACATCATCTAGCAGTAAAAATTCTTCAGCTTTGGTTGAATCTGAGTTCTTAGCACTCTGTGAGTCATTGGGTTCCCATATTAAAAATATTTATTATTGCAAATCAAAGGTATGATGAAGGGGATATCAGTCACAAGGATTTTACTCGCCATGGTAGCCCTGAGCTTTACTTGAAGACTAATTCCAATAACCTTTAGACCCTAATGACTCTGTAGCTTAAGTCCTTGTTTTCTCCCAGTGTTAGATCTAAATTTAAATTATTGATATGAGCATGTCTAGTGTAATAATTTATGGCAAATCTAATCAACTCTTCCTGTTAAGAAAGATGAACTTATCTGCACTAGGAAATGGAATTTTATGGATCTTTACAAAAAGTTTTATGAAACTTGATGCTGTAATTATTTTGGTTTTTCAAAGGGGGAAAAAAAAAACACTAGGGTTCAAAAATGGTAGCAGGACTTCCTTGAAATGCCACAAGGTGGCCACTAGATGATGCAAAAATGCAACCAAAAGATGGACAGAGAATAAAATCAGGTGACAAGGGTTTTTAAAGAATAACCTTGTAAAGTGTGGGTGGGATTTTTGTTTTATTTTTAATTTAAAGTCAATTGTATTTTACATGTTCAATTTCTAAAAGCATTTTTATAATTATTTTTAGTAGGGTTTTTCTTAAGATTTCATATACTGGTTTCTACAATTTATATTTGAAATTTCTCAGTGCTGTTTAAAGAGTTAGGGGAAAGCATCGATTTATTTAAAACCATAATGTTTTTAGAACTGAAGCTTCTAGGTCCTTTTCCTTACATTGTTGATCTACCTGTTTTATTAGAATATCTTGTTTGGACTGTTTCCTTTCAGCTTCACATTTGAATAAGAAAAATCATTTGTTTAAGTTATTCTAATCAACAGTGCCAAACAAATTATATTCTTTTAAAAAATAAATGTCTTTGAACAAAGAATTGGATCTGTGCTTTTTGACTTTATAGCCTGAATAAAATGAAGAACCGCATTCAGTTCAGGTTTTGTGTATTTTTAAATAGCCATTGAAATTTATATTCTTATTAGGTCAAAAAATAGTGAACAGTATGCTTATGTTTTCTCACTTGGACATTTTCTTTTTAAAGAAGTATTTTTTCCTTTATAAAAATTTTAAAAGAACCTTCCTTTCTTGAACTAAGTATAATGCATGAAGTATGAAAATATTTTTAAATCACCTTTTTATCTTGTGTAAACAAGTCATGTAAATATTGAAAAACTTGGTAACATACTAGTAAATGAATGTTACCAAATGTTTTTGTTAATTTTTTTTCCACCAAAATATCTTTTGGATTATGTGCTTGGTGTAGTTTGTTTATTACTAAGTCATCTTACTTCTGCAAAATGAATATCAATGTGAAAAATAAACTGGAAGATTAAGCATGTTTGAAAATAAAATGGTCAGTCACATTTCAGTTTACATATGCCACCAGTTATTCCATACCTTGTTTGTAAGCATTTATATTTTGCTACTAGACAAAGTTAACGATCTGGTTTTACATTGAATTTTGAGCTACAGGGATAAATTATGTATCATTTTAACATTAAAGAATAAATCTAACAGTATAGGTTCAGCCACTTAAAGTTCATATTTTTGCAAATGTTGATTTTTAATTACAAACGAATTGTAAAAACTTCCAGATGAAAGCCTGATTTGATGAATAACACAGTATTTAAAACATTAAGGTAGGTAACAAGCAGTTTTGATGACTAAATCTTCATTGAATTGCCTAAGGAGAATCTCTTTTGAAAGGTTTTCCATATTCAAAGTAAAAGGGAAGATTTCTTGCTGCTTTCTAAGTGTTTTTAGATACATGTCTGTTTCCTTTGGAGTGTGAACCTTTAGTATGTGAAAAATGTAACTTCATCTTGTGTGTATGTATGTGTGTAGTTGAAAAAGCTCTTTGTGGAAAATGCTACTTTGTTGGTAATAAATACTTATTTTCATACTCTTGGTGTGTGTTCTTTAAAATGGGAATTTTTTTATACTTAAAACCTTTTTAAGATGATTTTGGTTTTCGCTAAAATACAATTTTTACCCACAACTTCCAAAACAGGATTTGGTAGTTTATTAGTATTCATAAAGAAAGAATATTTAGTCCCTTGTCTACCTGCAAAGAAATGAAAGTCTAACAGGAGCAATAAACACATGTGAAGAAAGATTCCAGCCGTCTTAAGAAGCCAGGCAAGTATAAATATTTTTAGACCAAAACACTAGATTTGCTAAAAACATTCCCAAGTAGCCAATTTTTTGTCTTATGTCTTACATCAAACTTCTATCTAAAGTAATTTTTAAATGTATTTTTGAGTCAGGCAGGCTTATTTGCTCACAGACATGTTACTTAACTGAATTTCCACATTGTTGAAATGAGGATTATACCTAATTCACAGAGTGGCTGAGAAGATGGGTGATAGCAGGGACCTGTTAAGAACCTAGCATCACAGTAGACACTTCTATAAAATGTTTACTTCTCATATTTTCCTGTTTTTATTTGAAAGGCAGACAGACTGAGGAATATCTTCCATCCATTGGGTCACTCCCCAGATAAAACAGCCAGGGCTGGGCCAGACCCAGACGATGAGCCAGGAACTCCATCTGGGTTTGAGTCTCAGTACAAGTCTTTGAAAAATCCATTGTTCAAAAGATTCCAGTACCTAGATTTTGAACCTTTAGGAATACAGATGAAATTATTTTCATATATCTTGTAACCTTCAAATATGTTAGTGAGATTAGCTACCCTAAGGATGTTTATACTAATTCATTATTTTATTTAGTTTAATAGTATATATTTTGGAAAATTTATCTTTAACAGAACTTGCTCATTGTGGAGATTTTACTGTGTTGACATTTGGGCACCTCTTTTAATCCCAATGAAAAAGTTGGGTGTGAGGGGTTTTATTTATTTTGTAATATTAAAATATATCTACAGTTATAACAGCATTTCAGTAAATGACAGATCATATACCCAGCGATGGCCCCGTAAGATTGTACGTCCTAGTCCACAATAGCTGTCTGTTTACGTAAGTGCACTCTGTTCTAGCAGTGATGGAGCCACCCAACTGCATGGCTCACAGTGTCACCCCGTTGTTGAGCGAGGCATGAGTGTATTTACTCATTGCTCCAGAATAAGATGCTGATTTGCTGGAAGATCATGTGCTTTTGGGAAAGCCATCTTTGTTTAATCCCCAAAGAAGAACAAAACTATTTAGCTTCATCCTAAGCTATGCTAGGAGGACTTGGTGAAGCTGACAACCTAAAACCAGTTCTGGCTCCAGCCCTGCTCTCATCAGAAATTTGTGACGCAGGTTAGCTATTTTTAGGCAGGTCAAAAATGCCTGAATTATGTTCCCTTTCCACAAATATGATTCCTTTACCTGTCTGACTGACATTTTGTCAGTGAATTTACATTTCATTTTGCCTCTCAGAAAAATGCTTCACCACACTCTGCATTCAAATCTTCACATTGAGAATGAATGTTGAGGGGCTGGCGCTGTGGTGGAGCAGGTGAAGCCAGCGCCTATGGTGCCCGTGTCCCATATGGGAACTGGTTCAAGTCCCGGCTGCTCCACTTCCCATCCAGCTTTCTGCTGTGGCCTAGGAAAGCAGTAGAAGATGGCCCAAATCCCTGGGCCCCTGCACCCATGTGGGAGACCCGGAAGAATCTCCTGGCTTCGGATCGGCACAGCTCCGGCCATGGTGGCCACCTCGAGAGTGAACCAGTGGATGGAAGACCGCTCTCTCTGCCTCTCCTTCTCTCTGTAATGCTGACTTTCAAATAAATAAGTCTTAAAAAAATGAATGTTGAAGGGACAGGGTGCAAGAAGGCTGCTTAGCCATTCCTGCCAATGTTTCTGTCAGAAATGGGCCCAAAGGGGTAATTATGTGAATGCTGTGATGCAATGAGTTTGACATTCTTCCATTTTTTTAATCTTAAGTTATTCCTAGTAATCTTTGTGATCTAACTTTTTACCTTCATACAAAAGATACTAAATTTAGAGAGCTTTCAAGTAGCTTAGGGTGTCCCTTTTCAGTCATAAATCATGAAAATGAGACATTTGAGCAATTAGGCTTATCCCAGATAAGCCTAAATGTAAGTTATTTTGTAAGTTTGTTGCTGAAATGATTTATTTGCTGTATTATACCTCAAATGTGCTTTAAGAAATATCTGTGTACCTAGAAAAACTAAGCCACTCTGTTAAGAAGGGAGGGTGAATGTTGGATAATCAGGATTGTCTGGCACCCAGCCTAAGAAATAACTAATTACCTTATGACCCAGTGACAGTATTTTCAAAGAAAACATTACACTGAAATCTGCAGAGTTAGCACAGCCTTCAAAATCCGTATTGACCTCCCCATGGTACCCCCTACATTTCATGAATACCTCCCTGTAAAGTACTATCCCTAAAACCCCTCCGCCAGCTTGGTAGCCCTATTTTTCTTTTTCTTTCTTTCTTTTTTTTTTAAGATTTATTTATTTATTTGAAAGTCAGAGTTACCCAGAGGGAGGAGAGGCAGAGAGAGAGAGAGGTCTTCCATCTGATGGTTCACTCCTCAGTTGGCTGCAACGGCTGGAGCTGTGCCGACCTGAAGCCAAGAGCCAGGTGCTTCTTCCGAGTCTCCCATGCGAGTGCAGGGGCCCAAGAACTTGGGCCATCTTCCACTGCTTTCCCAGGCCATAGCAAAGAGCTGGATCTGAAATGGAGCAGCCAGCTCTTAAACCGGAGCCCATATGGGATGCTGGCGCTGTAGGCAGAGGCTTAAACTACTACGCCACAGTGCCAGCCCCAGCCCTATTTTATTTTTCTTCACCAAATCTATCACTGCTTACCATGCTCCACTAGAATATAAGTTCTTTGAAGGTAGAGACTTTGATGTGTGGTTTTCTACCTTCTCAGAGCCTAGAAAAATGCTGAATACTTAGGAAAGATTAACTACAACATGGAAATGCTCTCTCACAGGGCTGACAGGGCTGTGAGCCTCTTCAATTGTTTAATCATTATTTACGTGTTCACTCTGCAGTTCGAAGGATAAACAGTGTGTTCTGCCTATGATTTCCCTCTTAAGAGACAATCTACCAAGCGTTTGACAAGTGAGACAAGAAATTTTGAAGCACAGCAAATGATGTCGATTGGACAGTGGGCTCTACTGGGATCATGATTGGAGTGGGGCTCTACTGGGATCTGAAAGTTTTTTAAAGTTAACTGAATTTGGGTATTCACATGGGCCCTTAGAAGCAGGCTGTCATGAGGTTTTCTATACCAAGTGAAAGGGTTAGTATGGTTAAAACATGTGAGACAGTTTGGTCATGCCCAACTGAAAGATTTGTTGGTAAAAGACTGACTAGGTTAACATGGTCAACAGCTGTTCCCTCACTTGTTTACATGTTACAGTGAAAATATAAGTTGTAGGGTGCAGTTCTGCAACTCATTTGGTAGACATTTATTACAAGCAAGCACAGAACTATTCATATGACATTTTATAAGCATGGTGAAATTCTAGTTCTTCATCACTTTAGGTGACTTACACAGACTGCGTGAAAGGTTCACTTACACCAGTTGTGATAGTAGGAGAGGCAGGGTTCTATTGGTCAGATGGGCATGAAGTCTGAAATCCTTAGACTGAATGTTTGGTTTTAGGACCTTTGGAGGTTCAAGTTTTGGGAATCCCCCTAAAGATAGAGTGTAGTCCTTGTTGGGTTCCTACACTCAGTCCATGAAATAATGGGGATACTCAGTGCTGGGGTGGGCATTGTGGCACAGCAGGTTAAGCCACTGCATGAGACACCCGCATCCCATATTGGAGTGCCAGTTCGAGTTCGAGCTACTCTGCTTCCAGTCCAGCTCACACTACTGTGCCTGAGTGGCAGCCACATGGGAGACCTGGATGGAGGTCCTGGCTCCTGACTTCAGCCTTGATCCAGCTCTGATCTGTTACAGGCACTTGAAGACTGAATCAACAGGTGGGAGATTCTGTGATTTCACTTTTCAGATACATTTTTGTGTATATAAAATGCTAACCCGCTCACTACTGGTGTACCAGTTTTACATTGTCACCTGCAGCACATTATCTTCTACCTTAAGCTTGCCACCTTCAGTAGTTTGCTTTTTTTCCCACACTTTTGTCTAGTGTGTGACACCACTCTGTCTGAGTCTTCGGCATTATGTCTCTGAACCATAATTCCAGTATTATGTCTGGGGTTATGTCTCTGAACCTTCTAGGTAATCTTTTGCTACATACATATCTTGAGTATTATGCTTTTTGTAAGCCATCAATGTAATAAATTTCATTTCTGACATTCAGTGTGATAATTAGCAGATTTAGTGTGCCAGTAATGTATAGGCAGTAGCAGCAGCATTTGTAATAGCTCCATGACAGTGTGGACTTTGGTTTAGAAAGCTCAAGTGTGAACTACTGATTAGGTCAGCTGTCAACTTGCTAGTAATTTAGCTTAGCACTACCATCATGCTGCTTAGGCTGGAATATTTAAAAGGAACTGTAATGATTGTGAGAGGCAGTAGTTGATAAATGGGCAAGTAAGGTGGGGCTAGATCTTGTAGGATAAGGTGCAGAATTTCCTCTTTGCTTTGTAGGTTTTGTTGTTCAAAGCAGGGGAATAACAATTAGAACTCAATTCAAAAAGACCCATTTGACAGATTTGAAGGGAGGCAGGAAGGGTATGTGAGAGAGACACTGAAAGCAATAGATGAGTAGTAAAGCCAGAACCTTGCTGTGCTAAGGATAGAAGTGAAGTAGAGGAGAGTACAGAGTTAAATGTAGAATACATAAAAATTCTATCATTTGTGTGATTGTTGGCCTGTAACATACCTCCTTTAGTTTTCATGGGAATTTAAGAAATAATCCACTTTCCATGCAGGAAGAGGTTTCAGAGATTAAATTATCTTGTTCAAAGTCACAGAGCTTATGAATGGTGGAATTGAAACTCGGAGA